TGTCAGGAAATTTCTCCTCAGTTCTAAGTTGCTTCTCTCCTTGATTAGTTTCCACCCATTGCTTCTTGTTCTACCCTCAGGTGCCTTGGAGAATATTTAGTTATTTAGTAGATTTATAGGCCACCCAATCCCGGAGGACTCCCGGGTTTGACTCCCTCTTCTTTGTGGCAGCCCCTGAGATATTGGAACATTGCTATCATGTCTCCCCTAGTCCATTGGGTGGGGGGAGGGTTGGACTAGATGACCTACAAGGTCCCTTCCAACTGTGTTAATCTGTATTCTAGTCCTTCTTTAGAATAGCGTTGTGGTGTTTGCGGCTTAACAACTATGGCAAAAAGAAAGGGTGCGACTCGTTTAAACAATGCTTAGAGGCGGAAATTCCGATCTCAGCTGGGGTCGTAATTCAGGAATTACTTCAATCTCCCCAAACTTAGGAGTTATGATTTATTTTTCCTATTATTTCATAAGGTGGAATTCGTTCAAGAACTGCCCAAGACCATCAGTGGCAAAATCCAAAGGAACGAACTGCGAAAACGCGAATGGGGACAAATTTAATTCCACCTTTCTTTTTTTCTTTCTTTCTCTCTCATCTTCTTTCTCTCATGTCTCTCTCATCTCTTTCTCATCTTTCTCTTTCATCTCTTTCTCTCATCTTTCTCTGTCCCTCATCTTTCTCTCTCATCTCTTTCTGTCCCTCATCTCTTTCTCATCTTTCTCATTTCTCTTTCTCTCTCATCTCTCTCCCTTCTCTCATCTTTCTCTCTCCTCTCCTCTTTCTCACATCTCTTCTCTCTTTCTCATCTCTCTCTCATCTCTTTCTCTCATCTTTCTCATCTCTCTCTCATCTCTCTCTGTCTCATCTCTCATCCCCCTGACCCCGGGTCACCGTTTGCAGATCAACTGGCAGATCCAGATTCCATTTGCAAAGCCGAAAGCAGAGCAGCTTCCCGGGCCTGATGAAGTATGCAACTTACGGAACTTTCTGAAGAGCATTCCGCAATCAGTAAAAGGGCTTCTACTGTACAGCGCAGTGGAGTTGCCACAGTAACGGCTTCACAGTACTCCACCAGGGGGCGTTAAGGGGGAAAAGCCAACATTAGAAATTATGTTTGGCCCAGACATTTTCCCCCTATACATAAATACCCGGGCAATGCGGGGTTATCGGCTAGTAGGTGAATAAATGAGCTAACGCTGAACTGGTCTGTTTGTATGCTGATTTTAAAAGGCAGAATTGCTTCCACTGGTCATTTATGTTCACACACCAAATCTGGGTGTTGTTGTTGTTGTTGTTGTTTAGAAAGAGAAGCGTAATTATTTTTTTTTAAGCAAAGAACGTGTGTTAGCCAATCTGTTCCAAATCAAAAGGAGGTCAATTTAATAGAAAACAACATACAAAAGAAAAGAAAGAGCACATACAAACTGGAAAATATTATACCCCTGCGAAGACGTTCCACTGTGTGAAGGTTTTATTTTCAGACAAGAAATCCCACCCAGAGAACAGCTGGATTTTCTCTCCTTTAACATCCCCGCAAGGAATTACGAGTTTGGAGCGTTAATATGTCTTTCTAACAAGGTTAACTGCAAACAGAACATTTTTTTTCAACAAAAGATGTATATTTTCCCCAAAGTCCCGTTCGGTTAATATCTTACAATTTGCTTAAGATAGTTAAGAAGGATCTCTTACAAGCAAAGTTCCTCCAGGCTCAATATTCACCTGATGAAGAGTTTACAAGAGAAACTTGAACCTGTTCCGAAATCAGAAAGAAAAAAAAAGAAACACACACCAAAACATTAAACTACCTATTCTTATAGACTGGGGGGAGGGTCTCCAAAGTTGGCAACTTTGAAGACTTGTGGACTTCAACTCCCAGAATTCATGCAGGGCTGGCTGAGGAATTCTGGGAGTTCGAAACCCAACCTGTCTCAAATGGGCTAAGTTTTCGGTCATCGACTGAATGAGAGATCTCAAGAGGTGCTGTTTCTCCAGGGGGAGGTGGTGTCAGAATACGAGATCTCCAGATCCACGGAGACGCCAGGCCAAGAGGTGGGGGGGGGGTCACTTCTGTTGCTGCTCCCCAATAAGAAAAACTGGTCACGATAACAGCAATAGCAATAGCAGTTAGACTTATATACCGCTTCATAGGGCTTTCAGCCCTCTCTAAGCGGTTTACAGAGTCAGCATATTGCCCNAATAAATAAATAAATAAATAAATAAATAAATAAGAATTATAAATTGGCTTCAGGTTATATTTGTTTTTCACTTTTTAAAATTTTGTTTGATAGAATCATATTAAAATTAGACGTCCTGGATGGAGCCAATTGAAATCTGTCCCCATCTTTATTTCACTCTGTTTATTATGGCTAGGAAGGACCTAAGTAATAGGAC